AAAAAAATAAATGAGAATAAAACTGAGCCCCTAATCTGTAGCCCTGCAGACTCCTCTAACATCCCAGTGAATATTCCTGGACTGTTATTTTAAAATTTCCATGCAAGAAAGTTTTGCATTTCCTTTGATTCTATAGCAAAATTAAAATCATGCGCGTCATTTGAGGATCTATACTACTGCAACCTAGACTCGCATCTCAACTACTGCAATTCTCTCGATGTGGAAATTATTCAATCAGCCTTATGTCACCTGCAATTAGTGACTATATCTCCTCCTGGACTTGGCTCTGTTGACTGGTAAATTACACAACTATCTGTTTTTTTTTACAGCTAAAACAGTTAATCAATTAGTCAACTGTTTTGATAATTAAGCAATCAATTAATCATTTGTGGATGTCTGATCGCAGGTGGGCCGGAGCTCACACCTCCTTGCTGGAATGTGATCTACACCGGGTGTCTGTGTGTGTGTGTGTGTGTGTGTGTGTGTGATGCTAATTTGTATGTTAAACTGGCCAGGTGGTCATCTCAGGATGTGGGCCCCAGTATTAATAATTCTTCGAAGCTACTCTCCGTTCTCCAGACATCTTTATTGGGTCCTGCCCCGTTCCCACTACCACACATTGCTTCAGAGATTTTTCATGCAAACATTTGCAAAAAAATATTTAAAAAAATGCCCAAATTTCTAGGTGTAAAGCTTATTTCTTTTTTGCCATATCATCACTGTAAACTGAATGATATAAGATGTTTTGGCTCTGGGAAGTTGTGATGGTTATTTTTTATTAATAGAGAAAATATTTAATTCATTGATAATGAAAAGATTGTTCTATAGATAAACTGATTTGACTTATAAGAAAATGTTTTACAGATATATAATTCTATCTGCTCCAGATACAGTTCTACAGAGGAATCATCCAGTCTGTTCTCTGCACCTCCATCACTGTCTGGTTTGGCTCAGCAACCAAACAGGACAAGTACAGACTTCAGTGGACAGTCAGGACTGCAGAAAAGGTCATTGGTGTGAGCCTGTCCTCCATGGCGGACCTGTACACCACACGGGCCCACACCCTGGGCATAATCTGTATGAACTCCTCCCCTCTGGACGGTGTTACAAGTCACTGTACGCCAAGACAACCAGGCACAGGGACAGTTTCTTCCCCTGTCACTCTGATGAACACTTGACCCACAACAGTATGACTGGACAATAACCCTCAGTGCAATACCTGTAAATATACATTGTACAGATTATACAGATTCGTATTTTAATTCTTATTTTTATCTCATTTTCTAATGAACATTACTTTGTCTGCATTGTTTATTGCTTGTTTATACTGTTTATTTTGTTATACTACACAGCCTTATGTTGGTTTACTGTTTACTTGCCACTTGCATGGGGATATGTACATGCACACCGAGAGCCGATTCTGATGTTCCCGATGTGGCTTCTGTATTATTCATTTGGGTTGTTTATCTTTAGTTTGAACCAAGGGTGCTTACTTCTCTCTCTCTCTCTTAGGGACAGTCCCTTCTCTTGTTCCTATTAATGTCACTCAGGGTTGTCTGACCACATTAATGTTAAATTAATTTCCTGAGAATTAAACTTAGGGAATTTTTTTAAACAGTAAAAGCACAGATAGTCTTGATTACATGATGATAAGACAGGATAGTTTACATTTACAACCACAGCTGACTTCCTAAGAAACTACTCTATAAAGCTAAAGAAGTTCCCTGTCATTTTATATTTTACTTCCACATAAGAATTTTTTATCAGTATTATTTTACACTTTTTAAAACCTATCTCAGTTTCTATGAGTGTCTTGTTTACTTCTTCACATATTCAGTGAATTAATTTATGGATTTCTCAATGTGTTTTATTAGTTTGTCTTTATTGAGAGACTGCTAACCTTACCCGTTTCATGTTTATTTTCACTTCCCTTTTTTGATACTGAAAACATGGAGTCCAAATGTCAGGACTTCCCTGACATATTTAAAGTGCTGACCAGAGAAACATTTTCATAAAGCTGTGGGACTTGCCAGAGCCAGATCCATAACAGCAGCAGCAGAGGTCAAGATGTCCTGACTTTTAGTCCCTGTGTGGGTCAAACGGCATTCGCACGTTTTTGTCAAAAATGAATTGGCTCAGGGTCAAGATAACCCAGGTGGAGGTAAATCGGATCAATTTCATGAACTTTAAAAAACTATGCTATACAACAGTTTTCCCAGGCTCAGTAGGACTTTTGTTAACTAGGAAATTGATTTTGAAGAGTATTCTCATGAAGTCTGGAGCAACAGAGTATAAAGCCAAGCCATAATACAGGTTGCATGTCTACAATTTTACTGATAGCTCCAGATAGAAGATTAATACTTCTCAGATCTTAGAGGCCTGAATAGGTAAAACCCCAGTATTTCACAAGAAAAATGAAAAGTCAGACGAAACGATAATCAGTAGAGCTGAAATACGTTTTGACATTTTTCTGATTTTGCTCAGTTGGAGTTGAAAGAAGGTGCAATATTGCTTCATACACATAATAAAACAAGACTGTTGGTGGACACATCTTTAGTTACAAAACTACAACCTTTTCAGACACAGGGTCTTCATCTGATATTAACTGATTAAACAGAGGCCTTTATGCAGAATAATCTAGAGAAGGAAGCCAGGAAACATGTTGTCTGTTTTGCTCATGGGCACCTGAACAGGCTATTGCGCATATCAAACCTGTTAAACTCTTCTTACAGGATCATTTCTATAACCAGTAGTTAGCCTGTCCAGTTTCATTCGCACACATTCACTTTCAGGATTTTGCTATCTTTCTTTCCAAACAGGTGTTATGGTTTTGGGACTCGCTTCCTGTTTTGATGGTTTTGTTTTGGTTTGGTTTCCAGGCTGTGTCACCTTTACCCCAATTCACAGTCATCTCTCATTGTTTCCACCTGTTGTTCATTATCCTCTGGTCTCCAGCCCATATACTGTATATTCTCTTCCTTTCTTCTCAGTTTCTTGCTAGTCCATTCACTGCTCACCACACCCTGTCCGTTCCTGTCATGCGTCTCCTGTTTTGTTTTCCTGCTTTAGCTATCCCTGGACCATTTCACCTTGCCTCTTTGTTGGACTTTTGACTTTTCTGCCATCGTGGATTCTTGGCTTCTGGGTTTGTTTGTTTGTTTAGTGTGTTCTTTTGGATTTGTTACCTAGCTCCCTGGCTGAACTGTTTAGTTGCGGGTTTTGTAGAGTTCTTTAGTTGAGCTTTTGTTGGGTTGAGCTTCTCTGAATTTTCCTTTGTCTCGCTGTTCATTATCCATCATATTAAAGACTATTAAGAGCTCCGTCCTAGTCTGTGTCTGCATTTTGGGTCCAATCCTAGCATTAGACCTGACAACAGGTAGACCCAATCTTTCTCTTCCTCTTGACATTTCAGTAATCAAATCTGTGATGTCAGCGCTACAAGATAGCTTATCTAACTCCCAGCATGCCCTCATGCTGCTCACTCACCACAGCGCCCACTCTGCCCCGAGGTCCTCTCACGCCACGATCCCCTTTATTACCCTGCAAAGGAAGAACAGCTGCCATGATATGGAACAGAAACAGGCAGTTTGCTCACAAAACCCTCACTGTATTGATCCAAAATATTTAATGTATAAAACATCTTTAATTTTACAAGGTAACAGTTCAACTGTGGTCAAATCCTAGGATACAAACAATGGATTGTACGAGTGTACATTTTATTTCGTGTAGAAATTGAGTAAGAAAATCCAAATTCAGTTTAGTGCTACACACACACACACACACGCCTGTTTGCAGAGCATCATGTCATTTGATGCATCATGTGCTGGTGCACAGAAAACAATGATGGTGGTTGTTTTGACAGACATCATATGTCACCAGTGTGTGTGGCCTTTCAGACTGTGTGTGAATCATTCCCTGTGATGAAGTTTGTGCTCTATGAATAACATGGTAGTGGAATGGGTGAGATCTTATCAGGTGTCCAGACCACCTGTAGTCCTGTCCAGACAGTGGTTACATTGAATTCTCATGGCTGGATCATCTGTACAAACATCAGGAAACTGAGCTGATAAAAAAACAGCAGGGAGTGAGAACTTTCCCAGGCTGTGACTATTGGCAATTAGAAATTTAATCAGTTCGCTTCATTGCTGCTAGGAACAAAACACGGCACTACTGCTGCTAAACTAATAAAAAATAAAGTGAATTGATTTAATAGTTCCTGTTATGCAACTCTGTGCAACACAGCAATGACCACTGAGGCTCATGGGTACTGTAGTATTCAGTGCCATTCCACATAGTCGATTGCAGTAAAAATTAAACTCTGAGAAGATACAACGAAATGGCTACAACATACTGTAACTGTACAGCACTGTTAAATCATTAGGGACATGTCTATATTTCTCTGCTGAAGAACGGTGATGTTAACTTTTATATACAAACTGACAGTGGGGTGAAAAATACCTCAGAACTCTGCAGCTCAACAGCTACAACATACACAAAATTAGCTAAACTAAAAAAACAGAAAAGACTTAACTAAAACTGAAAAAAAAAAAAGAGTTCAAATACACTTTAATGGTATCAGAAGAACTGTATATGACTTGAGACCTGATTTCTTTTTAAAAGTATTGAACAAAACAAAAGTTCTGCAATTTTTGTTAGGGATTAATAAAGTATTCTGCCTATCTTTGTTGCAGAGATGCCCGTGGAGAGAAGATGCATTATATATTTGTTACCTTGGGACCAAACAGTCCAGGCTCTCCCATCAGCCCCGGGACTCCTATAGGGCCCTGAGGAGACAAACAGGGGGATAAAGGGTTATTTGTAGATTTAGGGTAAATACAGATGTGAATACAGTTTGTAAAAATTTGTGAATCTAAACCACACAAACTCACATCTTGACCAGGATCACCATCACTGCCTGACAGGCCGTCGTAACCTCTAGTGCCCTGAGAGAGAGAATTTAAAAAACTGATCAGACAGAAAACACCTTGTAGAGCATACTGGTATGATTCAGTATAACTGGCCAGCAAAGGTTCTCTGAAACACATTAAAATGTTTTGTTTTGCTAAAGCCTGGAAGAACAATTCAGCCTGAAATCACAGGAAATTTATAGTTATTTGTACAAAACTAAATTGTATTCACCTGTTATGTTAGAAAAGCAGCTTGTCATGTGGTTGCAAGCAGAGTTTATTTATTTATTTTACCATAAATACAACAAAAGCATTACTGAAAAATAAAAATGATTCAACTCTAATGGAAACTATGAAAACCTCAACTGGAACTAAAATAAAATAAGGAACAAAATAGAAGTATGGTGCATCTCTGACTCAGTGTACCAATAGTAAATTTCATCTAATGTTCCATATCATTTATATACATGAAGAAGAATATTAAACCTCGCATAATCACAGGTGACCAGGTCAGATCATCCTCCCAGTAAAACCAACACAATGTCAGTCATCATCAATAAAACCACAGCAGGTACAACATCCCAAAATAAAAACTTGCAGACACAGGTGTTTAGTGGGGTTTTCATACAGTAGCGGTCCTCTGGGAACCTCATATGTACTAAACACAGATATAACCACCACAGGAGGGCTGTGCACCTGAACAGAGCATTAGCTCTGTTTATTATACTGTAAAACAGCTCTATTACCAAAGAGTCGACCAGTCAAACCACTGTAACCTGCTCATGGTGAGGACTGTGTGACAAGGAACAAAAAGCATGTTTACATATTTGTTCTACTCTCTTTACTTTTACTTTTGTTTACTTTCATTTTCTTTTGCTTTATTTATCTTACGTCTGACACCAACAACCTTCATCCCGCTGCTGGTTTTGGTGCTTTTGGTTTCATCTTTGAGTTACATACTGTAGTTTTTCTTGATTTCTATGTGTTCCTGTGATGATATACCATCATGAAGAAAAATTAAGTGGCCAACCATTACCAGATGTTCCTGTCAGACACGTGAAAGACAACTTTAGGAGTACTGTAAATGATAGATTTAGAGAAATGAACTGTAAACATGTTCTGAGTAAACTCTGAGTCCATAAATGTCTCTCAACACAGTTTTGACATAGTCAGATGACTGTATTTGTTTTCTCCCACAGAGCTCAAAGTAGCAGTGACTACTTGGGGACATTTATTATTTTAATTTGTGTGCCTTCCTCATCTAGTTCATGGATCACTGGGCCACAACTTTCTGTTTCATACATGTCAGTCGGCACAGTTTAAATTAGATGTTGACTCAGTAAAGAAACTATCAAAAAAACCTAATAGTAATGTTGGTATTTTTCCCCAGTTTAGCAGAAGGTTTTGTGGGCAGTTCTGTACTGTGACAAATAAATATGAAAGTCTAGAAAATTTATTTCAAAATTTCAAAAATGCTCATGGCCCAGAAATGAGAACCAGAAACTTGCCTTAGTTCCTCCTTGGGAAAATTTATTTCTACAGGTCTTGTACTTGCTGCCAGTGTGATACTATACTGGCTGAGTACTACTACACTGGTTATGACCTTTACTCACAGATAAACAAATGTCCTCGTTCTAAATGTCACATTCAGAGTCAGATGATACAGATGGTCAGACAAGACGTGGGATGACTTTTACAATTCCTTGTGAGTTTCATCTGACATAACGTGCTTGTTTTGTTAGGTTGAAAAAACAATTAATTTAATCTTATAAAGAAAATATAGTTCTCAGTGGTCTCACTAAGCAATATCATCAATCTAAAGGATAAGGCCGGTCATTTTAACAGTATTGTCAACAGTCCCCATATAGTGACTAAAAACCATCTATTAGCTGTCTCTACTCACATTTCATGTCTGTCAGTCTCCAGCCTGGATCAACTTATTCCTCTGTGCCATAGACCTCTGAAGGTGTTCAAAAATGATTAAACATCAGTGAAACACACCACTGCACTGGGTGACGTTTCCTCATTATGAAACACCAGACCCACATATTTGTTAAAAATGTGGCCCCAAAAGCTCCAAACGACCAGAACTTTTTACAGCATCTGAGGTGGCAAGACTCATGAGACCTCCCTGAAAGCGTGAGGAGCTTGTGGACTGTAAACAAAACAGAGAGCCTGCAGGAAGATCTCACACAATGGGTGTGTTTTATAGATGTGTTTTCAATCATTCTACATAAATACAACCATGGAGATCTCACGCACATGCAGTTGGCTCTTTCCTACTTCAGACACTGAAGAAAGTTATGGTGGTTTAGAGCTTTTGGGGACAAAAGAACTGGACTATCAGGGCACCCCATGTGGAGTGGAGCTTTAACTGCTTTATATACTATTGGCAGTTAGCTTCAGTGGTATCAAATCTAGGGGATGGGCCCCTCCAAATGGTCACCGGATTAATGTTAGGGTCTGTGAGATGATTAATGGGGCAAAAAAGAAGAAAAAATAAAGTTCTGATGCACAAATCTCTTTTCAGTAAATGCAGTAAATACTTTTATTTAAATAAAAATATGTGAGAAGTTCAGAGGAGAAATGTGTCTTTGGTCAAACTCATAAACAAATGTGATAAGAGGTACTAGCTGGTCAAAGTTTATTTTGAGGGGGTCCTAAGCCTAAAAGGTGCCTGGTTTAATGTTTAACTATGTTTGTGTTTAACATGTTTATCATAATAATTTATGTAAAATCTTAATCTGCAAAGTAACTAAACATAGCAGCAGCTGTCAGATAACGGGAGTGGAGCAGAAATACAGTATATAATACAAAATATACAGTAAATATATAAATAGAAATAGTTCAATACAATGCCTTAAAATGTACTGTAATTAAATACTGTATGTGAGTAACAAGACTTTACTTCCCATCAGCAACTGTGTCTTATGTAACGCTGGTTAGTCACTTGTTTATACACCATTAGCTTTCACACTGTTGCTTTTCACACTGTTTCCCGCATGTTGTCACAATTTTTTTTGTAAATACAAATTTGTAGGTTGAGCTAATGCAGTATTTTGATGATAATTGATGCTGACATTTAGTATTTTCCAAATCTGACTATTTTCACTGCATGGTGGTGCAGTGGTTAACGCTATCACCTCACAGGGTTCGAGCCCAGGCCGACCCAGGGCCTTTCTGTGTGGAGTCTGCATGTTCTCCCTGTGCCTGCATGGGTTCTCTCTGGGTACTCCAGCTTCCTCCCACAGTCCAAACACATGTAGCTTAGGTTGACTGGTGACTCTGAATTGCCCGTGAGTGTGAGTGTGTGTGGTTGTTTGTCTCTACGTGTCAGCCTTGTGACAGACTGGTGACATCCAACCCTCACAGCCCTTGTTAGGATAAACAGTATAGATTATGGATGGATGGACAGACTATTTTCAAACAAAGCCAGACTAAAAGCACCACCTGGAGGCCACGATGGTTGTTAGAAGTTTTTCCAGCCCTTGTGCCTTGTCATGTCTTCAGCAACATCCCTTTGCAACGGTCATCACAGGTTGCACGTGTACATGAGTCACAGTATCATTAGGTCAGTGAAAAAGAATGTTGTTCCTGTTTTATCCAAATCATTTTTACAGCCTGAACAAGTAAAATTATCCAGTAATTAACAAGAAAAAAAACTAAATTAACTTGTGTTATTTTCAGTCCTAATAATCTCACAATGCTGCAGATTTGAATTGTGACCACTGGTTATAAATCATTCATTTGAACCTTTTAGTTAATTTTAGAGTCTTTCCAAGTCTGGATATAAAAATGTGACATTTGTTCTGAAGATTGTGATAGTGGAGAGTTCGTCCTCTGGGGAGGAGCTCGTAATAATCTGGCAGTTAGATTGTGAGAGAACATTTTCATCTGACTGTAGCACCAGAATAAAAATCACGAAGTCACTGTGATTCATCGTCTGGGACACTGATTATTCACATTTAGGAATTTGACCAGAGGTGTTTAAGGAATGTTGGCGAGGCCAACTCAGACTTAGTCACTACATCCTTCACTGAGGTTTCAGTATTTCATCTCTATAATTAATTGTTACAGTATGAAGTTCGTCATTTGGAAACTGAAACGGAAGCTCTTAATCACAAACCCACACATACACTCACACACTGAGGTATGTAAACTTACATCAGCTTCACAGAAACATCAGTGAAATGGCAGACATGTTTGTACCTTTGGTCCTCTGGGTCCGATGCCTCCTGGCTGACCAGGATAACCCTGTGAAGACAAACAGGAAATATTCTTCTCTGATTCTTTTTATAGATGTGAGGAAAAATAATCAATCTTTCATAGCAATAATAGTCGCACTGCAAAAATCAAGTTCTCAGAAATGAGCTAACTGGCTAAAACAGGTTAAGTGAGTGCACAGAAATACTGAGTGAAAATGAAAGCGAGAGAGTGAGTGATGTCATTGTTGTGCTCTGATTTGGATAACAACAAAAACACAAATACAGAATCGGTCTTTGTGTACATGCAAACAAAGGTTTTCTGTGCTTAGAAAGTCCCACGGCTTGTTAGACCCGAGAAGTAACACCTTAGGTATCCTACACTCAGACCTAAAATGGGTCACATGTAGCTGTTAACTGACAGCATTAAAACTCTTAACATCAGTTTCTTTTGTAGAAAGCTTTGTCCCTGTTAGCCAGGATAATTATACACTTTTAAGAGCTTTTAATATCTCAGAATAGGACACAAGTCAAGGACAGACTGAAGGAGAAAAAAAAGTGCCTGATCTGAAGCAGAAATCTAAACAAAATGTGAACTGACACAACACAGAGTAAAAATTCAGATAATCTCAGTGACCAGAGATGATACTGATAAGTTCTTACAGTGTAGCCTCTCTCGCCAGTGTCACCTGGAAAGCCGGGTGCACCTGTCTGACCCTGTGGGAGAAGACAAGACATCAGGATTCTCTATCGACCTCTACTGGCGGGCAGAGGGACGTGCAACACTAGTATGACCAATAGAGTCCCATTTCACCCAAGTATAGAGGAATAATGTGACTACGGAGTGCAGGAAAGGTCTATTGGACATGTAACACACCTCCAAGCTAAGTAATGGAATAAAAATCTCAACAATATTTAGGTGTACATCAGTAGAAAATGCAAACACTTTAGCTCCTCTGTACTTTAAATTTTATTTCCACACCTTCTGTCCATCCCGTCCCTGACTACCCTGTTTGCCTTGGTCACCACGAGACCCCTGAACAGAAAACACACAGTAAGCTGCATCAGAAATGAGAAGTGCTAAACAAATGATGGAAAAAAAAAACTCTTACGGTAAATAAACTCAAAAACACATTGAAACATGAACCTACAATGAGATTTGAAATATTTCGCCGTTGTGTGACTTTAAAACATTATAATTCCTAAATTCTTAATTAGATAATTCCTAGAATTGATAAAGCAAGTCTGTTTTTCTACTGAAACGAGATTAGATGATTTTTTCTGAAAATAATGTACAATTCGATTTCTCTTTAATATGATAATAGCAATATAATTAATATATCATAGTATTGTGTGCCTTCACTTTACATCTAATGTTTTATATCTAATTGTTCACAAAATGTTGATGAAATATTGTTTTAGATGTAATGACAGTAATGCATTCAGCCTTCTGTGTTTCCTATTTAAACTCTAAAAATGCTCTTTAAGTTTTAAATATTCATCAAAAAGTTGAAACTAAATGACAAAAAGTGTCTTTTACACCTTGAGGAACAATACAATCTAATCAAACATATCACTTATATATAAAACTATTAATAAATATAACTTGTTTTGTCTCTTTAAAATGAAAAAAGAAGTTTAAAATTTTAGGAAACAAAACGCTGTTTTTTTTTTAATTCAAAAAGCACGTAAATGCTTGGGTGTTAATTTTCTTCTTTACCTCAAAACCTTTACCTCCCTTTGATCCTGAAGGCCCTGCGTCTCCACGAGGGCCCTGAAATAAAACAAATATATTCAATGAAAATAATAAGCTCTGTGTGTCTGTAAAATTGACTTCATAGCTAAATAAATATGAACAAAGAACATATACTATAATATTAAAGCAGCCTGACATGATATTAAGATGGTTCACATGTTGTTTCACAGCCCGCACATCTACCTAAAAACCCCCAAATTAACCATCAGCCTCTTTTACTGCATCACTCTTCCCTGGTTTCTGTTGTTATGAAGGAGCCACTGTGACGGCCAGCTGTGTGGCAAAGAGGCCAGTGGAGGAAGCCAAAAGTCTGGGTGATTTCCAACTGGATGGATCCGCAGTTAAAGACTACCTAGAGCTTTCCACAGAGAGACAGGTACTTCCTCTGACAGTTACTATGGCTCCCTCTCTTTACTGGTCTCAACGTGTTTACTAGTTCTCATCAAGAATACTTAAAGTGTTCATTTTTATATCAGTGCCTTGTACGTAAGCCAAAAACAACCATGGTCCATTTTATACATTTTATAATAATTTACTAATATATCACATGAAAAAGTCTCTCTTGTCCAAAGATTACTAGAATATTAACATGTGATCTTGAGATACAATTAATGCAGCCACAGCCTTTCTAGGCCTCAGTTCAACTGAAGTTAAAGTTGTTTCTGAGGAGTTTTCTCCAGGATTTAGTTGGTGACAATCAAATGCTGTATTTACAAAATATCAACGAGGCCTTCAAAATATGTAGTGACCCCATTCGCATCTAAATAATTAACACTTAAAACTCTTTGTATTTTTACCCAATAATGAATAAAAAGACATTTATAATTGAATTCATAATTTTTTTTATCATTATTATTATTATTTTATTTTGTAATTTGTCTCCCACGTTGCAGCTTCTATTTTATTTTTAATTTAAAGAAAACTTTGTTTCAATGCAATTGCTTTAGCTTTAATGTTAATGAGAGGTAAACACAGCAATAACAGGACATACTGTATTTGAACCTCTCTGACCTACATCCACTAACTAATGTGTCTCACAGCAACAATACTGAGTTTTAAAGCTCCTAAAACATGTGAATCGTGTGTTAGGCCAGAGGGCAACAGGACTCCTATCATTACATAATGAAATAATAAGAAAAAATGCCAGATTTTAGATGGATTCATCTAAGAAAGAGGATGACTCACTAATAGTAGTTTGTGCTTATTAGTGCAGTAAACTGCAAATTTTAATTCTGCATATTTCCACCAGAGAGGTGGAGAAGTCGCTGTTTCCTTACAGTCTCACCAGGAGCTCCGACTCCTCCGCGGGGTCCGTCCATACCAATGTCACCCTGTCGACAGGAAGAGACGCCAGATTTTTAAATAGCAGTGTCTATGGGAGCTGCACATAGTGTTAGAGAACTGGTCGGTTAAATTTTACTGATGTTTAACAAATCCAGCTGTGATGTTTTATGACATGTTCACACCCAAATAAATGTCTGAGTGTAAAAAAACATGACTCATTACAAACTAAATAAAAATAAGATTATAAAGAAATATTCACATTTTAGAACAAATTAACTAGTTTTATAACAACCAAAGCAGAAACTGCTACTGTGTAGTTACAGTGTGTTAATCCTGTGATAAGTATGAAGTATATCTCCAGAAAATGAACTTAATCTTGAGGCCTGTATCTGTCAGAGCAGAGTCAACACCACACTGTCTCTGGTCAGAAGTGCTGTGTTTAGACTTTTAGACCATCTAACTGGGTTTATTCTGGGACATGTGTCAGTCAGTGTGTGATTACCTTCAGACCCATATCTCCATGCCCACCCGGGTCTCCTGGAAGTCCAGGTTCTCCCTGGTGACCACAGAAAAAAGTTCAGTTAAACTGTAAGTGTACTGTAGTTTTTAAAGGTCTATTATCTTGTTTTACGGGTCCACTTAGATTTATTAATTTATTCTGAGGAATAAAGAATTTAGGAGGCTTAAAATTTGATACAGTGAGTATCAAATTGTTTTATGAGTAGGGACAGTAGGGCCTAGTAATGTCTCCTACCAGCCTGCAACTGAAATCAAAAAACATTTTATAACTAACATTTCTATCAGAGAAAATATTTAAGTTGTATGTATTTATAAAAAAATCTTTTCACTACCTTTAACACCGTTTTTTATAGAATCTGTAGTCAATGTTTCATGACTTTTCAACAACTGCAGATACTCTGTAATATGACTTTAACATTTGAGTGAAATGTTTCACTCCTGCACTTTTATTTTCTACAAATCAAAACCAGATGTAAGCAGTGAAGCTTCACAGGGGGGCTGTCTGTAGACGCTCTGCGCTGGTCTACCCACCATGGCCCCAAAGAAACCGGAAGCTCCTTCGTCTCCTTCAGGCCCAACATCGCCCTGTCAGACGAGAATAACAATAGCAAGGCAAATAATGTAATGTTTCAGTATTGATAATTGATCTCTAAAGCGTTCCTTGACCAATACACAGTGAGCTACTCACACCACAACATTTTTATAGTTGGAAGATACTTAAATATGTCAGGAACAGTGGTTGTAATCTAGTATTCATCTTATTTTATTGTCCAAATAAAAAGAGAGTAAAAAGACTACTTTTTTTTACCCACTTGTTTTCACTTTTACTTTTACTTTTACTTCTTTGTTTGGCATTAGTGCCCATTTTATTTTAAGAGGCTGTGCATTTTCATTTTCACTTTAGTATTTTTTTCTCTCATCTGAATCCGTTTCCTATAACACCGTGCCCTTTCTTGCACACTGTGATGGGAGGTGTTGGGACATGCTTTACTCACCACTGGTCCAGCGTCTCCTCTTCCTCCCTGAACCCCTTTGGTTCCTTTATAACCCTAAAAAACAACAGACAAATAAAATCACAGGATAATCACCCTCTGAGCTCTGCATCAGCAGGAGAACTTACACATGGAGCTGCCATTTAAATATTTCTTTAGTCAGGTTCACCATAATCAAACGTGCAGTAATAATGTGTTAGGCTCCGACCTCTCTGCCTTGAAGTCCCGGCTTGCCAGTTTTACCCTGCAGACCTCTGGATCCCTGACAGAAGGAGAGAAACAAGAATGAATTAGTAACCGGTTAAGACAAAGATGACAAACCAAATGAATTTACTGACGCAGATTATTTGTTGTCGTGTTTCTGCAAGTGACTGTACTTTAATCTGAAACAGATTAAACTCTAATGATTTGTGATTTTCTGCTGATGTAGCACCATTTTCAAAAAGAGCAACAAAATGTACTGTAGTGCTGTATGCAACAAACAGGCTGATGTGTGCTTCACACCAATATAACACAGCGGCACTGTAACATAAAAGCTGCCATTTGACACATTCATAGTTGAGTGGGTACCTTTGGTCCAGCAAAGCCAGCAAATCCAGGCTCCCCTGGTTCACAGTCGCACTCTGTTGGCCCCTCCTCCGCAAGTGCTGCATCACCCCCTGACTCTTCAGAGGAGTCCGTGTCAGGTCCTCCATGAGGGTACACATATGGTACCTGAAACACAACAATATTACACACCAGGAAGTCAGTGAGACAATATGGTAAACAGATTTAGACTTGTATAGCACTTTTCTATGCACTGAAGATCACTCAAAGTGCTTTTACAGTATTAAATCATTCACACACATGGGACAGCCACTGGGAAAACTGAGGATAGTCAACCTCAAGCAAACATTTAACATGAGCGGCTTAAGGAAGTAACTCAATCACACTTCTTGCTTGAGAGACAAATCCTTGCAGGTACGGATGGGGTTTGAACCCATGATCTTTGGTTTATGAGACCAACGCCTTGTCACTTGGCCACTATGCCTACTTACATGCCAGTTGTTGTCACCCACCCACAAGGGTTGAACTTGAGTTGTTCTGTTCTTCATAAAAATAAAGTTGGGGTCACCTTTACAATTTGACTTTGCGTTCAGTTCGCACCTTAAGGGTTTCTTCATCATTTCATATTTAAATTAGGAGTTTGTGGAACAGTTGACGTCAAAGGTTAAAACAAATGAAACAAAGCACAACCCTGACTGTTACTTATAATTAGGTTCCCAGTCAGATTCAAACTGAGACCACTGCAGTTTGTGGTCTAATAGCTTTACCCATGGGGGCACCCAGAACAGGATGTTTAAGGTGTGTTTATTTGCCAGTACTAAGGTTTCATATTTGTGTTACACTTAATTCTGCTCTAACCCTGCTTTGTTGTGCTGGTCGAAGTTCATGTTAAAAGTACTGAAATAGCCAAGTGGTTTCCGTGGGTGTCATGGATATGTCTGATCTGCTACAGCCCTCTCTGTCTCCCTGTTTTTTGTCAACCTCTCTGCAAACAACCTGGGTGAAATAAAACCAAAAAATGAGTAATCCATCAGCCAGATCCTCTAAAATTTGAAATGTGTTAAACAGTGTTATGTGAAAAAAAACCTTATTTACACAATTTTCTGTTTCTACTCTGTGTAAATACTTTGATAAATAGTCAGAATATGCACTTGTGGTCAATTTTTATTTAAGTGTAGTACTTGAAAATGTGAACGACCTCTAATACAGGTGGGTCTGATGACAAGCTAATGCTGTCAGAATAATCTGATGGTACATGCTGTATAAATTCCACACACTGGGACCATTTAATTAATATGCACTTAATTATTATAATCCTCAAAACATTTTAAAAATATGCACTTAATTATTATAATCCTCATAAAAACATTTTAAGGTGAAACTAAAATGAGGCTCAGTGTTTATTCTTGACAAACATCTCCAGTTCCTTGACACCTGTGTCTGCTAATGATGACAATTTGGCAAAAAGATCCAGAACAGCTACTGAATGGACCTTGTGGGGAGTTGTTTCTCGCAACTGATAACAACTTGTTTTAGCAGAGGCAGAGCTGTAAAGACCACCAGCCCGCAGCTGTCCCACCTGCATGGTCTCAGTGTCCTCCTTGGCATAGTGGGACTCGGTGGTGGTGTCGTAGGTGAAGGTATCCTCAGTGATCATGGTGACCTGGCTGGGGTCAGGACCGTAGACGTCGTAGTCCCCCTCGTCAGGCCGCTGGTCCTCATAGGTGTGAGTTGGCTCAGGTGGATACTCTGATGGCACAGAGAAGATGATGTAGTGACATTTTGTCCTGGGAACTTAATGGCACATTTTTACAGGTAATGGTCTTAGTTTTAATTTGGGAGGCCACCTGCCAGTCAGAGTGAGCCTTCCGGTACAGGTCAGACTTGTCAGGACAAAAGCAGTAGCTATATGCCACCTGTAAAAAGGTAAGAATAAATAGTGAGGGACACTGGTCTCACCTGGTTGAGGAGAAGCTAAGCTGTCATAGTGGTTGACTACGGAGCCTTCATAGGTGTGTTCCTCACCTTAACAGACACAAGAACAAAGAGACAGTGAAACATGATTTGCTGGAAACATTCATATGTGAGTGGCTCATTGGACTGGGGGTATGATTCTCATGTCGGATGTGAAAGGTCCTGGGTTTATCTCCCCTACCAGTCCTTACTTTGATGCAAGTGCAATATCTCTCCTAAAAACTAAACACAAAGTGCAATTTCTGAAATGTTATCTATGTACAAAGTGGAAAAAATAACTAAGAAGTTAAAGAAATAAGTAATTTCACCTGACACTGGTGTCTTGAGCAGAAAGGTAACTCAGCACACAAAAATCCAATGAAGGATGAGAAATAACCAGTTATAAAGTTGAAATACCCACTTTCATTCCAAAAAAACAAGTACTTTTTTAAACTTCCAACCAGATTAAATATGAAAGTAAGCTAAATCTCATACTTTTTATATTTTCTAGACAAAACAATTCATATAAAGTTGTAATTTCTCAAGAGAAAACTTTTCATAATGAGAAACAAACTACCTTTTGCTTGTTTCTTATTTTGATTCAGCTCTATCATTTGTTGCTCTTTCAAGAAGGAATGAACAGCTACTTTATAGGCTGTGCAACAAATAATTGTCATTATCAACAGTAATGCTCTATCAACTACAGTTTAAGGCCTCTGACCTGAGTGATGTCCAGAAAATCCATCCTGACAAAGAGAAGAGATGACACACAGCATGAACACGAGCAGCCCTGAGAGGAGAGACGTCTGCAGGGACAAACACATCAGCATTCATTTAATACCCTCTACTGAAGACGGATACATCCTGACTACATGTTTTGCTATAGTAATGGTTTGTCCTGAGAGAAATTGAGAAAATATTTCAGACTGGATACATCCAACCCTCTGTCTGTCAGTAGCATGACATCAAGCAGAGGTAAAGGTACCGCCTGTATTTAAAATCTCATTCAGTCATTTTTTTTTTACAGAAGACAGTTGGGGCCATTGTAAAAAAATTATTTGAGATCTGACTTAAAATTTAAAATGTAAGAAAGATAAAAGAAAGAAAAAAGTCAGAACACATTTTTTACAGTGGCTCTAATCATTTTCCATAGTTTTTTTTTTCTTACTTCACTTTTTCTTTCTTTTGGCTCATCTCAACTTCTCTGTAGAAAGACTTCACATAAATTCACAGGCACATTGCAATAATTAACACTGAATCAGTAGTAAAACAAGATGATCAATACAATGAAACCTGATTCTATTATTTTACTAATTTCTGTGTGGCTCGTTGGTCTAGAGGTATGATTCTCACTTTGGGTGCGAGAGGTCCCGGGTTCAAATCCCGGACGAGCCCCTGCTTTAATACAAAAATAATTTCCTTCCTAGGACTAAAGTAGTGAGTATACATAAGTACAGTGCTGCTGCTGGATAACTACTTAGCAGACATTCTTACTGTTCACACATAAGTTAAATTTGAACAAACCCCTGGAGGAACATACCCAAAAATTTGAATCAGCTGTCTGCATCTCTGCTCCTTAGTGTCACTTTAATCCCTGCTGTGTCTTTATTTTCTTTATTTAAATAGGAAAAGTAATGTGCATTTCCTTCTTTGCAGAAATGCAGCAAAGAGTGGCGGCAACACCTCATTTAACTTCTCCAAGACGATCAATAACAGGTAAAACATATAAACATATACAATATTTTATTAATAATGGGTCAATATTATACAAATCAAAGTTCTCACTATCCTGCACTTCAGATTATTTTTGAAAAATCTCCACAAGTATTATCATTAAAACTCTTCATAAATCTTAAGAGTTTCTGCCAGCAGCGTTTCTGTACTCTGCTAGATGTATGACAGCATGAGGCCTTATAAATAAATGTGCTACAGGTTAGTCTGGACGTGAATCCAAAGCATCCGCTGCAGCAGGTTGAGGTGAGAGTAAACCAGTGACTCTGAGCTCCAGGACCTCAGGGACAGTGAGGTGACATTTTCACTTGCTACACATGATTCCATATTTAACATGTTTTCACGGATATTTGTGGTTTGATATAAAAACCACTAAGAATGTTATGCAACACTGCTGCTGTTTTTAAAGATTGTTCTGGAAGAGGAACTGGAACCTATTCTCACCTGATCTGCTTGTGCACCAAAGAGCAGCAGCAATAAATATCTGCTTTCTCATTGATCACAGTGGAAAATATTCCACAGAAATGTTTTCTCAAAGGAACAATTCACACATGCTAAATAACGTGACCTTCATTATTTAACACATAATGTTATTTCTCAACACACATGGACATGGAGATTGAAGCCGAGTTTGTTTTAAGTTCATCTGCTGCACTAATAAAGAGTTAACAGGTTCTTTTCAATACTTCATAAAACCATTTTAAGAACAAATACATTTAAATGCATTGATAAACGGCATTAGCAAATTTCAGCTAAATTCTCTCCAAGTCAGGATTTAAAGAGTTTGGTTCATCATTTATTTTTCCCACAGGTATAAGTAGAAAAAAATACATGAATAATCATTTTTACAAGCTATAAAACCTCAGATTTTTCTGCTGAAGTCAAACTAAATCATACAAAGACAGAAAGAAAACCTGTTGACACTTAAAAGTAGAAATGAACACCCCATTATTGAGGTTGATATTGGAGCAATAATGACTTTTAAGGCCTGTATTTTGATGCTGTTAAGGATATGCCGACACCGTGGGAAGCACGTCAGAAACTAAAACCTCAATTTATTTTTGCCCAAAGGCCCATCAGAAACTGTAACCAATCCACCCAACTGCTGCTTTGACTAAAGAAGGGTCCACAGTTATTCTCACATACTTCTTCCGTTACCTGCCCGATGACCAAAAATCCATACATTTCATCATCTTAGCTGATCCAAATCAACTAAAACTACAACCACGGCCTGATGAGAGGGTTAAAGGGGAAACCACCTAACGGTAAAAACCTGAAGCTGCGGGGGCCCGTGGACAAACCCAGTCCACCCCACTTACCTTGTCACTGGAGGCTCTCATGGTGCTGCAGTGAGTGCCCTCAGACCAGACCAGATCCTGCACAGGACACTGACAAGGACAAAAACAACGTGGCTGAGCTTTCCCTGAGCAGTCCTCCTCACAGCATTATCACTGCTGGCTCCCCCTGACCTCTCTGTCTCCGCAGGATCCCTCAGGTTCCCAGGCATTGATGGAATCCTCTCTGCCTTTTTTTTTTTTTTTGCTCTTCTTAACAGGGTGAGAAATACCTGAGTGACAATCTAGCACCAGAAGAGAAAGACCAAGACAGAGAGAAAGAGAGATGCATGGATTTGTGCGCAAGTTTAGATCAAGAACATCTTAACCTCAAGTCAACATTGTTTTCAAAAGATGTTGCAAAAGCAACTGAAGTGAGCTCCTAACTCTTGTCAAGGATGAACAATCCTCTAAATGCCTTATTAACAACCAAATATTTAAAAACCATCTGGATCAAAACCTGCATCTAAATTAAATTTCTTGGGTGTGTCTTTTTTCATTCATATAAATGAAGCAAATCATGAGGAAAAAAAAGCTTTTATTCCAATTTTTTAAGAATACCTTCCTCCCAGTAAAATGATACAGTGAATACTTTGCACTTGGTAAGAGGCTGAAAACACTACGTTTAGCTGGAACACATATGGATCCTGCAAATTAGTTTTTGCTCCTTAGTCCAATTTTTACACTGCAAAACAAAGCTCAGCTCAAACCTTCAGTTGTTTCATTAAGTCACGACTTGCACATTTTAAGTAGCATCTTTTTCTGAAAAGGATTTCAGAATGAAAAACCTGTTTCTAAAATCAATCTAGACTTTAAAAACCAAAGATTAAATTTACAATACTTTCCATTTTTCCCCAATGAGTACAGGAACTTTGTGTTTACACTTGAAGACACACTGCAAAATTGAAACACTGAAAGAGTGACCTTTGACCTTGTGGTGAAAGTGTGCCAACTATGACACAACTGTCTAACATTCCACTTAGTTTGTAGTTAAAAATCATAACAAATCAGGCGGGTGGAGCTTGGTCAAGGTGTGATTACACTGTCAAATACTTTAAACGAAGATCAGTAGTAACAGGAGAAAAACTTTAACATATTATTTGCAAAGCACAAAAAGCTCAAAATGTTCATATTGCTGGTTCCCAAAACTTTATTACAATTAATATCATTCCAAAATCCCCCAGATTGTAAACTTAAAATGTCATGACAACTAAAACCTTTGACATCCAGAGGCTGCCACGGCCCTTGACCTCATATGGTCTGACTTCTGTTGTTCCTGATCCAGGGCTGTTACTTCTCCTTCTCTCTCTCCTCTTTCTTCTTCTTTTTCTTCTTCTTTCGGTCATGGTGGTAGTCATCTGGGGAACGGGAATCCCTACAAAGACCCCCCAAAAAAATCATCATAAATCGATGCTACATTTACACTTTCAAAAGGCATTTGCTGACAAATGTCAGTAACTTGTCATAAAAACACTGGTAAAAGAAAGAAGATCAAACCAAGACATTATGTTTGTGCTTCCTTACCTGGCCCTCTTCTTTTTCTTCTTCTTGCGCTCTTTGTCTTGGCTTCGTTCTCGACTGCGATGGTGTCTGCTGTGGGAGTGGTGAGACTCTGAGGACGTCGACCTCCTTTCATCCACCCGCCTGACAAATAACATCAGTCACTTTATAATAAGGTTTCACTTCCTCAGTCTACTGATCAGGAGGACACAGAGTTTTTTTTGTACCTGTGGGGTGAGTGGTCCGATTTCCTCAACTCTTCCTCGCCATCTTCCTCCCTCCACTGTCTGGCGAGCTCCTCCGAGTGGACGTTTATCACCTCTCTGATCACCTGTAGGATTTCCACAGTGATGCCAGATATTCAATTAATTTAGGAACCACACAACAAACAGAGGAGATTGTAGGTAGAGACCCTGATGAACATCATCCTGCGGCTCACTCGTACCTCAGTGTAGGACTTTTTGGTGATGTGAACGTTCTTGGCACGATAGGACTGGCGCCGCCTCTTGTAATCCCTCATCTCTGCCATCAGCTCCAGGTGTGTTTTAGGTTCATTCTGTTCTTCAGCTACACACAAACACACACACTTTACTGAGCGAGAAACCAAACAGCTCTTATTCATCAAAACTAAGCAACATGTGTTCAGAAAAGCCGCACAACATGTTTTTAACAAAGAAAAACAGCTAACAAAGATGACTTCATTTGCTAAATTGTTCCTCTAAAATAAAACAGCCTGTTTCTGTACAGGTGATCTGATACTCAATGTTTTATCAGTTTGATGTTTGGTCCTCTAACATTTCCACAATGTTGGGCGAGTCTTACCCTTCTGAAGCTTGGAAACCAAATCCACGTAGAGGTCTTCATTGCTGGAGGAGGCAGCTTCCTTCTGCTGGCTGAAGACGCCGACCACGTGGTCGTACAGAGCCAAGCGGTCGGCCACAGTGAGGTCACACACAGCTCGCTTGTGGTTCTGAGGCACGTCAACAGGTTGGCCAGAGTACTGACCTGAAGGAGGACCAGAGATGCTTTACACACCCAGAAGTGACTGTCGGAGGTGAACATACACACAGCATCATTTCAATAACTACACATGGAGATATGATCAGTAGAACTTGTCTCTATGACACAAGTCCATGTGATCATCTTTACAAGCTCCTCATCAGCTCCATTAGTGGGAAACCCAGCAGTTGTCTCGAATCAATTGAACGTGACTCAAACTGGAACTGAGACATTACCCAATAGAGAACACAACAGAAAAAACTGCGGTTGTCTCTAAATAGGTAAAAACACTAACTTACATTTACAGGATGCAACTGTGTATTTTATGTACAACAAATGAAATAAACAATGATTGTGTACATGGTTTGCCAGGTAAACTGTGTGAGCAGAAAGAAATTGTTTGGAATCAGATTTTATTTTTATGCTAGATTCCTGGTAGATCTGACAGATCACAGGAGAATGTGATGAAAATGCTCTTTGGCTTCACTTATTTGTTTGTAATTTAACACGCTGAGTTTATTTTAGCTGCTACAAAATACACAAAATATGGACAACTTCTAACTCAGCTGCTCCCTTTCTCTATTTGTATAACTCCTACATTGTGATCAGTCTAGTTCTGGTGAGGGAACTTAAATGAACTGAGTGGAATCATTTTAGCAGTGGGCAGAGAAACAGGAACTGAGAGTTATACTTTGTACACTGTGCATTTTTTAAATATGCAAACGAAATAAGATTTATTTTCATCCACAATGTTAACTGCCTGAATGCAGTGACTGGACTTTCCCCAACACGTAAAGGGAAAAGTGTGTGAGTAGGTGTCCGAGAGTCCCCCAGCGCTGAGCTTTGAAAGGATATGGCATTAAAGGATACTGCATGTAATCAGGCAAGCCTGAACCAGAGCAGCAGAACTTTCTAGAGCCCAACTCCTAATACTCACCCCTGTCGCTGCAAACAGAACACACAACACACACACAGACATCAGCAGATATTAAATAAAAATGACAAACCCAAGTAAAAAGCACCTGGATAGTTAAAGAACTCTTATTTACTGGGTTTACAATGTGAGTGTAACAGAAACGGATGTTCACTGAGAAGGTTTAGAACAAACAGCTGAGTGATGATAAATGAGCGACACCTAGTGGCATGTCATCACCTCTGGAATGTAAGAGTAAATGTTGGATTGGGTAATCGTGAAAAGCTTCTGCCTTTGTGACAGGATGGCACACATCAGCATGTCTGTGGAAACAGTTTCACAGTGAACTATTACAAAATGAGCTTATACCTTGCCAGAAGACTCCTTCCATCCTCATCAGAGGTGCAGCAGATCGTGCCTGCATGATCACCTGGTGCTGGGTGGATTTGTCTGCCATAAGGAAATGACATGATGACAACAGAAAAATACACCACAAAGTTTACAAAGTGTGTTCTGTGGACAGGGTTGGTCGAGCCAGCAACATACACGTTTAACTTGTTTCTTGATTCTTCTTTCCAGTCCTTTTCAGAGCATCTTAGCGCTCAGTTTATGCACAAGGTACCAAGTCTCAATAATTCATAACAGTGGCTGTATTTTTTATTTTGTTTTGCAAGAAAGTTATCTTTAAAGATCTCTGTGAAAAGAACTCATCATATAATTTTCGTTATCTTCAAGACTTTTTCTTTAAATCTCAAATGTAAGAAGGTAATTTACCAAACACTTTACTTTTAACACTCATCAGTAATGACTCACCCATTGTAAAGCTTCTGACGCTGGTGTTCTCGTAACACACAGAAGTGTCGTACATCTCCGCCTGTTAAAAAAAGGTGATAAACTTTAATGCTCTCTTAATGATTACATGCATTAACAGCTCATGGTGTTTACAGTATTCTGATGCATGATGAAGAGAAGCTGATACAGTCTGTGGCCTTTTACTGCTTTGTTGTTCCTGTTACTGATATCACTGGTACAAATGAAGTTTGTTAAACCCACCACTGTAAGCTGTAAACATCTGTTGTGCCTTACGCTGGATCACTGCTACTTTTGTTCTCATTAGACTACAGCAATGTTACCATATACCTGCTCCTCAGCTGAGTAGCCCAACTTTCTAAGGCTGCAGAAGACTTTGTGTTTCTCCAGGCTCCTGACTGGGACTATGTGGTTCGGATCATAGGGACACTGCTCCATTGCTTCCTGAGAGGACACCAACAATGTCAGATGAAAATTAACTGCAAATCCACACATGTATGAGGGGAATATTTTTAACATTAACTTTTAGATGGCACACACTGGCTCTCTGTGTGTCTGTTTGCAGTTTTGGCCAAATGCTATATAACCAAGCAGCCAAACTGACTGATCCTTTAAGAAAAAAAAATTACACAAGAAAAATCCCATAAACATAAAAAGGTGATGCCACTTTCTGATAAAGCATAATTTATAAAGATGACTGTTTGGATTCTCAGTCATCCAGGTCATAGTAAGCTGAAAAAAAAACTTTAAAAAAATCAACTGGGCTAGATTTCTAGGTCGAAGACGTTTCATCTCTCATCCAAGAGGCTTCATCAGTTCTGACTGACTGGTGTTGAGCCGGAGA